TGAAAAAGAGTGACCTGCTTTTAACTTCATAGCATCTTTCATGCTGTTGATATTACCCGTAGGAATGAAGACATGTGGCATAGCAAGACGATTGAAATGGCAATTTAGAGGCACGGCGCATGGATCCGAAGGTCTAACAAGTCTGGTTCGGTCTTTTGCTTTGTGTGGGAATTTAATTGACGACAAATGACTTAACGGAACCTGCAAATACGTTAAAACAATATCATCTAAGAGACTGTGGTTTTTCAGACTAAAAGTGCAGCGATGAAGAGAAAAATTTAACGAAAATGGTTTTTGGGTCCTACTAAGTACTATCAACAAAACGCTATCAAAACACTTCAATTTCAACTTCCTGCGAGAAGTAGGGGCATACGAAAACTCACCGAATTGTGGGATTTCACTAACAGTAAACATCTAATTGTGGTGAGCGGGTGAAAATTAATGAGCCACTTTTTTTTTCAATCGTTTATCCAGAATTAAAAATTGTGTTGCTTGGCTAATAATCCTTGAAATGGACAAGTAATTTTAACTGAGGCCGTTTGGTGCAATTAGAACAGAATATGGGACAGCAAATGGAATGCTGAGATTGCTTGCTGGGCGACTCAAACAACAAATTAAATTAACGATACGGCAGAACAAGACGATCAATAAAATGGCGCACCAGGATTCAAACAGATTCTTTAAACAGGTGCTCAGGGTGCAAGCTGCGTGAGGATCGTCGAAACGTTAGAAACACATAGTCCGGCAAATAGCTAATATTGAAAGCAGTGCCAAGCCTTGAAACTCTAAGGAAGCTAGCCTCGAGTCGATAATCGAAAAGATCCAGTAACAGCTAAGCTGAACCATCGGTAGGGTCAATGAATAGAACAACCTGGAGTGCCGTCATTGATAAGGAACGAACAAAGGTGGTGCCGCGGAGAAATTGGCGAGTGAAGAAGGAAGCCCCGAAGCTGCTACAGTATCACTAAGTGGAGAGGTCTCGCTCCAAGCGAGGCATCGCCTCTTTTTCATTGATTATTTTGACCACAGAAGTATGTTAAGTAGCTCCTAGTTTTTTGAATAACTTAAAAATGTTCTCCTTTTAATTAACAGGCGCCTGTAAAAGAAGAGATTCTAACAGTGTGGAAGTTTTTGGATCTTGCAAGATATTGCAGCCTGTGAAAATCTTGTTTTTTTCCGCCCTACAGTCTTTCATAAGCAGCTTTCTCGCGCACAAAAAGTAAAGCAATCAAAGTATAACCCAAATTCTAAAACATATTCGTCATTTGGCATAGTGCGCAGCACCCTCGTCAACACTGTTTTGTTTCGATTTTTTTTTTTTCGGATTTTCAATCATCCCAGTAAAAACATGACAAATTATAGATAACTCTGTTCTGTGCTGCCTCAAATGCCTCAATAGATTTTACTAGGAGTGGTGGGGAGTGCAGTCTCTTTTTAGTAACATCAATTCACAAACCCTCACTGGTTTTCTGACTAGCCATACGTCGTAATCATCAGAG